TTTTATTTTTTAAACACTTTTCTCTTTCAAATATTTTTTAGTACATTTAGAATTGTAACTTTTTGACCTATACAGTACTGTGAGTTCATTTCATTTTTTTTCATTCTCTTCAAGTATAAATCACTTTTCTGTCTTAATCTCTGACATAATTTTTCTCTCAAATCTTGGTTTAGTTTACTCAAAATAAGTTTCCCCTAATTTTAATTTAAATACTTAACTCCATCAACTTCTAACCCAAATTATTATTTTTTTTTCCAGTTATCAAAAACTGTCTTTTATTGTCTTTTTTTTTATCACCATCATGCATTGTCTTTTTTTTTTATCACCATCATGCATTATAATTTATCCTCCTACGTTCAATAATCTCTATGAGTTAACCTATGAAAATGAACCAAAATAAATTAACATTCTTCATAATTTATCATTTCAACATTACACATTTAAAGTTTCATCGTACATTATCATCTAAGACTTTTCTTACAGTTTACATGATCCTTTTCTTTTTATCAAATTGACAGGAGTTTGATTTGATACAAAAATGGGTAGCTACACTTTTGCGCTTATTTTGCCCTCTGAGTGGTCACATTGTACTCAATTTGGACTATAGGTAGACTGCTTTGAGATGGACTGCCATACTCTCCCTCCTCACACCCTGAGAAGACAACTGGTTCATAGATTGGTGCAGTCATTTCTGTGGTGTCCATATCAGGGCACAGTGTTTCCCCCTTCTCTCTTAGTGCTGGCTTCTTTTCTTTCATTGAGCTGATATAAAGTTCTGGTGGAGCGCTTTTTCTCTTTGATCAGTTCATCATTAGCTTGTTTGCCTCTTTTTAGTGTCTCTGAACATAAGTAGCCTTTCCAGTCCTCAGTAATTCCTGGGCATGCAGTGCCTGCCTCACTGCTTTCACAAATGTCTACAGCCAACAGTTTGTCCATTGTGTTTTTCAAACACCTTTTCCATTTGCCAGTGCACTCAGAGATGTCTGATAGATAAGAGATCACAGACCCCCAAAGTCCATCCCTATGTCCTCTTAAGTAATATATGGAATTTAGCTCATGACCAATAAAAGTATTTTCTTCTTTCCCATTTTTTTCCATCAAATGAAGACTCCTCTAATCTATTTTCCCCTCTTTACGGTTTTAACAGTTCATTTTTTCTAATTCACATTCATTTTATCATATGTAAATATGTTTAATGTTCTATTTCTTTAGTGTTATTCTAATAAATTTCTTTAGCTCCAAATTGTGTTTCACTTTACATTTCTCCTCATCTATGCTAGTGTTCCTTGACTAGCCACTCATTTTTACATTGTAACATTTTCTATACTCAGTTTCTATTTTCTCACTGCTTACATCAAATGTTTCTTCTGTTTGCCATTTGTCATTATCTTATCTTTTATTTTCTCTGCCACATATTTTAGTATTGCATTTTTTATTTCCATATACGTTTTTCCATACCTGATTTAATTCAACAATACTACATGGTGGCCCAATATCTGGTATAACTGTACAAAAACATTACTGCTATAGCTCAAAGTTAATATTATTAATTTAATTCACATATTTATTTACTAAAAGCATTTTTCATTTTTGAAGTGCAAAGCATACTTATCAATTTAGCTTCTTACTGCATAAACTTTAAAATTTATTTTTTTAACTCTAACGCATTCTTTAACATTTACCTAGCTTCTATGATTTTCATCTGAATCACTATACTTTACTACAAATAAATTTACTACAAATATTTCTTTAAATTGTTACTGCTTTTTTACTTTTTATCTTATCTGTTTAATGTACCTATATTGTAAGCATATTTTAAACATCTATTTTTATCCTTGAAACAGTGAACTTATTTTTTCTATTTCTATTTTATTCTTTTTCCTTTCTGTAATTTGAGTTTTTAGCTCTTAGGTTTTCTTATACATTTTAAAGCTTATTTTGTTACACATTTTATCACTAAATCTTCAATTAATCACTATTATTTTTTTAAGTTTTCTTTTTCTACTTTATTCTCAATCAAAGAACTAACTTATATGTTGTTTATTTATACTTATTTAGTAAATCTATTTGTTTATTAATACATTCTTTTACTCCATACTTCCTTTATCTCTATATATATTGATCACTATGGCTTCATTTATTCTTTTTCATTAGTAGAGTTTCAAACTCTTTTCTATATAATATAACTCTATTATTAGTATTTCCTCATTTCTTTTATCTTACTATACTACCTTATAATATATCTATTCAGTAATAACTTATATTCTATCCACAATTATGTTAAAGTCTATGTCATTATTTTATACATAGTTTGATCTCCTCTCTTTTACTCTCCTCTTCTCTATTTCCCTAGTGCTGTAAATAGACAATCTATTTATTGTTCACACATGGACACCATAAATCTCTCTCTTACCCCCATCCTGGAGCAGACTGTCTTTCACCTATTGCTATGTCAGGAATTTAAGTTCACTCTGCCTATAGTTCTTTTTTAACATATCCAAACTTAAAACACAAAGATAATTTCAGAAAAATGTTTAACTAGTATATTCTTCTGCTTTTTACTCTGTGTCTTTCAAATGTAACATGTTCCATTAGTTTTGATGTAGGAGACTCCTCTTTTTACATCATAATCTCTTCTCTTAAACTGCATCAATCACTATTCCTATTGTTCTTTAAATCACACCACACATATGCAACCCTCCTTTTATATTGTAATATTCTATAATCATTATTTTAACCTACTCCTTATTGAAAACATACTTTTTAACACATTCACAGTTCTAATCTTATTACTTTTCCTCTTCTCATTCACTCCTCTCCTCCACTCAGTGTAACAGGAGCTACATCCCCCATACTCATTCCATTCAAGGAGGAGGAAGGCAGTCTTCTCTGCACACCAATGTGGACTAATTTGCCACAACCTGAAGCAGCAAATATACAAACACTACAATGTACTATGTACTACTAAATAAATACTCTGTACTGCACTCCTCTTGAGTGACCTGTCCAAGCAGCCTCTAACCTTAGAGCGGTAACCACAGGTTCCTTGCCTACCCATGCAGCCCTCTGCTTCACCTTTTAACAGAGCGGTATCGTAGGTCTTTGCGCGCATCTCTCTACTTTAATCTGCTTTAATCTCTTAAATGTTACCACACATTAAGGACTCTCTCTTAAAACTTATAAATGCTCTATGCAAATCTTACATCATTATTAATTTCCCAAATCTGGGTAACAGTTACTAGTTAATGTTTATCCTATCCATCAAGGCCCACTTAGGAAAACACAGATCATTTGCATACCTTACTCTGCTTTAATCTCTTAACTGTCACCACACATTAAAGACTTTCTCTTAAAACGTAAAATGCTCTATGCATATCTTACATAATAATTTCCCAAATCTGGGTAACAGTTACTAGTTAATGTTTATCCTATCCATCAAGGCCCACTTAGGAAAACACAGATCATTTGCATGCAAATTACTCTTTTTCTTCTGTTATTCAAAACCCTTTTTTTCTTTAATATCTTTTTACATTAACTTTAAGTTCTTCAAAGCTGGAGAAACAGTTCAAGTGTATTTACCGTTACAAGCAGGTCCTGGTAGAAAAAACAAACTAATAAGCATAAAATCGCTTACCGTTTTTTATTGTGGCCACATATTTGTGTTTTCTCTCCAGTCCAGCATGCACAGTAACATCAGTCCTGCTTCTTTCCAGCCCACCCAGGGACGCCAAATGTAGTGGTTTTCTTGGTTTTTCTCTTACTAAATCAAACTCAGTCTGGAGGTTATGAATATCAGAAGAATATACTTTATTGTCGACACCAAAGGAGAACTTTCAGGAGACCCCAATAGCATCTCTGTCTGAAAAATTCTGTCTCACTCATCTTCTGCCCTCCTTAAATAGTCTTTTACACCAGTTTTTTTCTTTGTTCTCCATATGTTACACAAGATCCCTCCTAGTTTAACCCTTGACCCCTGTGGAAATATAAATTTCTAGCATCTAATTCCAAATGAACAATACTCTACGTATAACTGAAAAGTTATTTTCTTTGGTTTTTTTTAATTAAATCATTGCATTGACGTGCCATATAGGAGGGACATTTAACCTTGCCTTGCTGACTACAGACTTCATTTGTATGTTAAAGTGATGTAATTAATGGTTTCACAGCATGGCTGTATCTATTGTATTCCCTGTCTCCAGAACATCATTTGCACATTGTTGTAATGATGTACTTATCTATTGATGAGATCAGCATAGCACCCAGACTTCATTTGCAACCATGGCACCCAGACTTCATTTGCATGCTTTGTTTTACTGCCCCCCATGACTGACCCCACCTACATGCTGTAAGATGTATATTATGTTTTGCTGTGGAGTTGAGAGTTTGCTTTCGATGACGCCACAGCCACGCTGAGTTTCCTCTTATTAAAAAGGATTCTGCTTTGAAGACAACCGAAAGATTCTCCCTGGTTTTTTGTGGGCTCTTAGAAGTTTACAACAGACTGTGGAAATATAAATTTCTAGCATCTAATTCCAAATGAACAATACTCTACGTATAACTGAAAAGTTATTTTCTTTGGTTTTTTTTAATTAAATCATTGCATTGACGTGCCATATAGGAGGGACATTTAACCTTGCCTTGCTGACTACAGACTTCATTTGTATGTTAAAGTGATGTAATTAATGGTTTCACAGCATGGCTGTATCTATTGTATTCCCTGTCTCCAGAACATCATTTGCACATTGTTGTAATGATGTACTTATCTATTGATTAGATCAGCATAGCACCCAGACTTCATTTGCAACCATGGCACCCAGACTTCATTTGCATGCTTTGTTTTACTGCCCCCCATGACTGACCCCACCTACATGCTGTAAGATGTATATTATGTTTTGCTGTGGAGTTGAGAGTTTGCTTTCGATGACGCCACAGCCACGCTGAGTTTCCTCTTATTAAAAAGGATTCTGCTTTGAAGACAACCGAAAGATTCTCCCTGGTTTTTTGTGGGCTCTTAGAAGTTTACAACAGTTTTGGTGCCGCTGACCCGGATAGAGACTGAAATCATCCACTTCTCAACAATTTGCAACAAAAGACTGAAATCCACCTGAAATTCAACTTGAACCTTCAAGATCAAGGAAACTTCACTTCAGACGGAATCTTCAGCTCAACTGCAATTTGAAGTCACTCAGCAATACAAAGATCAGACCACTTCAGACTGAACCTTTTCAGTTCAACCACGATTTGGTGAGTTTCACTCTATAAAAAGAACCGCAAAACCAGCACATCTAGTTACCCTCTGCGCCGTCAGAGAAGAGTTAACAAACAGCTGTGGGTTTAGTTAGCTAAGTTATCCTCTAAATTTTATTTTAGAGAGGAATAAGTAATCCTCTGCATTGCCAGAGAAGTTTAGCCTTTCGTGCTAAAATCTGTATCCTCTGTTTTAGGCAGGGAAGTTTAGCCTTTCGTGCTAAAATCTGTAACCTCTGTTTTGACGCAGGGAAGATTAACCATACGTGTTAATATTTTGTTTTGTCTGTGTTTAGCCTTTCGTGCTAAAATCTGTTATCCTCTGTAAAGCAGAGAAGATTAACCTTACGGGTTAATATTTTTGTTTTGTTGTAAGTCTGTTATCCTCTGTAAAGCAGAGAAGATTAACCTTACGGGTTAATATTTTTGTTTTGTTGTAAGTCTGTTATCCTCTGTAAAGCAGAGAAGATTAACCTTACGGGTTAATATTTTTGTTTTGTTGTAAGTCTGTTATCCTCTGTAAAGCAGAGAAGATTAACCTTACGTGTTAATATTTTTTGTTTTGTTGTAAGTCTGCTATCCTCTGTAAAGCAGAGAAGATTAACCTTACGGGTTAATATTTTTGTTTTGTTGTAAGTCTGCTATCCTCTGTAAAGCAGAGAAGATTAACCTTACGGGTTAATATTTTTGTTTTGTTGTAAGTCTGCTATCCTCTGTAAAGCAGAGAAGATTAACCTTACGTGTTAATATTTGTTTTGTTTTTGTTTTAGTGTGAAGTACTATCAGTTTTTTTTTCCTCTGCATTGCCAGGGAAGGTTGACTTTGTTAACATACAGTTTTTTGTATCAGAAAAGTTTAGTGTTTTGTTTTTGTAGTAATTGAGAAACTCACAAAAATGTTTAAGAAGAACGCTAGATTGATCCCTACAAATGAAAAAGGTGGTCTTGCAACTCCGTTGTGGTCAGATAAGGAATTTAAATCATTGTTAGGAGTACAGATGGACCTAATAGTCACTGAGAAAGTTAGAAGAGAGCTAACTCAGAAATATGAGATCCATCCAGACAAGACTTGGTCTGTAGATGAATGTAAAAAAGTACTAGGTGCCAGTATCCGTAAAAACAATGTAAAAGGCATTATCTGCTGTCACAGAGAATTTGCTTTATCCTTAGCCACACAACAAGCTAAGCGCAACTCAGACCTAGAGGAACAGAACAAACAGCTCCGTGCTAGAGTAGCATCTCTGACAAAGAAACTGAACCGCAACAAAGCTTCAGAGAAAGCTGATGTAGAAGAAATCAGTGAGTCTGATAATGTTTATCCAGACTTACAAACTCTCTTTGAAACAGATGTACCTGCAGAGTCAGTGAATGTTTGTGGGGCGAAAAGGAAATCGCAGAGAATTGAGGAAATTGAAAGTGTTTCTCCCAATGCTTCTGTTGTCCAAGTTCAATCAGTTACCAAAGCCTTAGGGCCTAAAGACATTGAAAGACTGTCTCAGGGTTTACCTTCAGCCCGCATAAATTTTTCTGAGTTTAGGAGAGCACTAATCAGCAAAATGCGTCTTTATGACATGTCGTTGACAGAAGTTACACAGCTATTGTCTCAAATTCTAACAGAATCTGAATTCAACAGTTTTGAATCTGCTGTTTCTGATCTGCAACATGCCAGTAAAGATGATTTGAGAGAGGGTGTTCTGAAAACTCTTAAAAATATTATGGGGCCCAAAATAGATTGGTCTAGAGTGACTAGCTGTGCTCAAAAGAAAGATGAGTCTGTGAATGAATTCACTGAGAGGTTTTGTCAAACAGCCATAGCTTACAGTGGAATTGTTGACAACTCTGAAAGTGTTTTACATGAAAAAGGACCACTAGTTCGTATTTGGTCTGATGGCCTTGTAACAGAGTACAGGAAAGCATTACCTTTTCTAGATCTTACATGGTTTGACAATACCATCAGAAGTAATCTAGGCAAGTTAGCTGCATGGGAAAAAGATGCTGATGTCAAAGCAACAGTGAGAATAGCAGCAACTACATTTAGTTCAAAAAACCTAGACAATAGGTGGCCTAAAAGAGAAGGCAAATGCAACTACTGTGGGAAATTAAGACACTGGGAGAAAGAGTGTAGGAAAAAGATGCAGGATAGTAAAAGACATGCTATGCATAATTCTGCTCCCTCTCAGCCTGCCTACAACCCTGAAGTAGTTCAGCCATTGTCTACAGCAGCTTTAGGACAGCTTGCTCAGGCTCTTCTAAAAGCACAACAAGAACAGGAAAAAAACTAATTGTTGGGGCTGTGAGTAGCTACCTTTCCCCTGTAATCCATCACAATGACAAAAGACTGTTTGTGAAAGGTAGCATACAAGATAAAGAGATTGATTTTTTGACCCTCACAGCCCCGAATGTTGTTTTACAGCGTGCACCAATCACAAACCCATCCTCATGTATGATGTCTGCATTGACTGAAGTTGTGTTAGAGGATGAGGGAGAAATGACTCATGATTGTGTAACGCTTACTTATACACCTACAAGTGAAGTAGCAGAAACGCCCATAGAAAATGCAGAATGGGAATTGTTCGTTGATGGTTCAGCACAAATCATTGATGGTAACAGAAGAGCAGGTTATGCGGTAACTTCCACCACTGAAGTAATAGCTACAGGCCGTCTTCCAGATCACTTTTCAGCTCAAGCTGCAGAACTAGTAGCTTTAACTAGAGCATGCACGCTAGCGTCAGGATCAGTTACAAATATCTACACTGATTCCAGATATGCTTTTGGGGTAATTCATGATTTTGGTGTCATTTGGCAAAGCAGACAGTTTTTAACTTCTGCCGGATCCCTCATTAAGCATGCTGGATTAGTAAAAGACCTGATGTTTGCTATGAAACTTCCTAAGAAATTGGCGGTGATTAAAGTGAAAGCACATCTCACAGCCAATACAATGGAAGCTAAAGATAATGCTCTTGCTGATGTAGCTGCTAAACAGGCTTGTCATTATGCTAATGTACAAGTATGTTCAGGTAGTACAGCACAGAAAGCAATTCTACCTCCTGAATCAATCATTGATCTGTACAAAGATGTTCCTTTATATGAAGCATGGACTTGGTTAGACAAAGGAGCCACAGTGGATTCATCTGGCTGCTGGACTAAAGAGGGAAAATATGTCGCTCCCGAATCACTGTTGCCATACTTGGCTCAACAAATACACAATTTGGGTCACAGTGGTCCAGCAACCATGAATCACAGGTTCTCAAATCAATGGTGGAATCCAAAATTCAGAAACATAGCCACTGAGACAGTGAAAAGATGTGTTACATGTCAGAAAAACAATGACATGCCAGCAGCAACTACAGCAGCAACACATACCCCAGCTCCACCGGGGCCATTTCGTCATCTGCAGGTCGATTACATATCATTACCTCCCTGTAAAGGAAAAACTGATGTTTTGATAGTAATTGATAAGTTCTCGAGATGGGTTGAAGCTTATCCAACAGGACGTGCTACAGCTGCACATACTGCTAAATGTCTAATCACTGATTTCATTCCCAGATGGGGGTTACCAGATTCCATTGACTCAGATCAGGGTACACACTTCACAGGACAGGTAGTCAAGGAAGTGTCTAAAATGCTGAAGATTAAGTGGAATCTTCACTGCCCCTACAGGCCACAAGCATCAGGACAGGTTGAACGAGCTAATAGGACAATTAAAACCAGGCTAAGCAAAATGCATCAGGAAGGAGTTTCATGGGTTGAAGCACTTCCAGCAGTACTATGTAGTATGAGAGCATCACCTAACAGATCAGTAGGACTGAGCCCTCATGAGATTATTACTGGACGCCCAATGCAGATGCCAGGTGTAATTGATCTTAGAAATGCTGATGTGCACATCGTCTCAGATGCCCTGATAGCTTACTGTGAAAACCTTACCAAGTCTGTACAAAATGCCAGAGAGAGAGTTGAGTCGTGTTGGCAGAATCCACCGGAAGGTGGACACACAATCATCCCAGGTCAGTGGGTCATGATAAAATCATTCAGAAACAAGCCATTAGAGCCTAAGTGGCTTGGACCACATCAAGTGATGTTGATTACAGCAGCTGCAGTGTTGTGTCAGGGAAGAAAAACTTGGACACATGTCTCACATTGCAAAGTTGTTCCACCACCTACAGGGATAGGATAGGACACACAGAACAGTGGGGTACCCAGGGAAGAACTGATCCTTTAGGGATTGGGGGCCACCCCTGGGCGAAGACATCCCAATAGAATATCCCCCATTTATTAGTCCATCCTAACCTTACTGTTCTTTAGGTGTCATGGGAATTAAGAAATAGGGAAAGAAGGAACAACTATAGCAGAATTAGAATGAACAGAGGATACAAAACTAGTGTTTTATTTTTTACTTTTTTATTTTTACCTTTTTTTACCTTTTTTTCTTTTATTTATTTATTTTTATTTTTTTCCTTTTTTTGCAACAAATACTGTTTCGTTGCTTTTGTTTCCTTCTTATTCTGTGCAGATACAACTTGTTGTCCTGAGACCCATAGACACCAACCTTCTCACCTACAAGTCCAGTCACAACCTTCAAGAGGCCACTGCTAAACCAACCATCACAGAAGAAAACACAACGCAGAGAACCACACACAGGAACTTCAGTCATCCATCAATATGATCAAGATTGCCGTACTAGTGATCATCATGAACATCGCACAAGCCATCGACTCACGAAGCAACATATTCTTAGAGCTGATGAATATGTCAAGAAATGCCTTGTTTGCTGGAAAGAACATCTGCATGCCACACCCACCTTCAGTAGGAGCAGGAATCCCCTGGGTGGCACACCCCATGTCCAACTGTGACACGTGTACATTATTTGGAGTTCACACCAGTGGAATATACAACAAGAGTACATGTCACAACATCACAACTCCTCCAGCTACTCCGTGTTGCATTCCTGGATTACCATCCTGCAACCTAACTTCAGCAACTCCCATCATGACAGATCTACTACTGCCAATAATTTTTTCCTGGTGCGTGGAAAATAATGCTCCATCCTCAACTCCACTGGGTAAAATTCCTCGCGAACGATGCAACTTTGTCATTGAAATGAGAACAGGATCCCATGTGGACATTACCCCATCAGCAGGGATAAGGGAAAAGAATTTAGAAGCATGTCTCCACGGGACACGATCTCTTCCAAAACTCTTCGCAGTGAATCAGTGGTGCATGATTCCTCCACCAACAGGAACTTTTTGGTTATGTGGAACATCAGCCTATGACATCCTTCCCAGCCAATTCAATGGCAGGTGCACATTGGGCTACGTTCTACCAGCTATCAGAGAAAATACACATGCCACACCAAGCTCTCTACATCTGCATAACTCAGCTCCCACCACAAAGGAAGAAGATGGCTGCATTCCAGGACTCACTTGTGCACAAACATGGTGGTCAAGAACTCTTGGAGCAATAATTCCTTCTTATGGTGTGATGCAAGCCCTTGATCAAGTCAGAAGCTTATCAAATTCTGTTCAGAAACTGGCCAATGATACAGCTTTTGCCCTGGGTAATATCACAAACACTCTTGCTTCACACAAGATAATGATCTTACAGAACAGAGTGGCCTTGGATTACATTCTAGCAAAGCAAGGGGGAGCTTGCACCATCATAGGCCCAGAGTGTTGCACCGGATTAATGGATCCAACCAAGAACTTGAACAAAATTCAACAAGACATACTTGATCTTTCAGTAAAATTGCACCGGATGACTGAAGACAATTCTTCATGGTTTGGAAACCTGTTAGGAAAACCCTGGCTGTGGATCAAGGAAATAGCTATTCTTCTATTGCTTTTCCTACTGTTGTACTATCTATGCATCCACAGTATCAAATGTTTTACTCAACATTTGACCCACGCCCATGACGAAGAAATGACAGTTCCAACCAGAACAGAATATTATCTATAAGAAATCCATGGATTTTAGCGGCATGTTTGTTCCTGTGTCAACATGTCATTTGTAAATATAGACAGTAAAAACTGAGCAAGTAGTATGCGCCTGTAACCATAATACGTTACAAGAATGAACTTTTTTTTAGTGTATAAATTTATTTATTGTGAGAGTTTTTTTTTTATAACTCTCAAAGGGGGAACTGTGGAAATATAAATTTCTAGCATCTAATTCCAAATGAACAATACTCTACGTATAACTGAAAAGTTATTTTCTTTGGTTTTTTTTAATTAAATCATTGCATTGACGTGCCATATAGGAGGGACATTTAACCTTGCCTTGCTGACTACAGACTTCATTTGTATGTTAAAGTGATGTAATTAATGGTTTCACAGCATGGCTGTATCTATTGTATTCCCTGTCTCCAGAACATCATTTGCACATTGTTGTAATGATGTACTTATCTATTGATGAGATCAGCATAGCACCCAGACTTCATTTGCAACCATGGCACCCAGACTTCATTTGCATGCTTTGTTTTACTGCCCCCCATGACTGACCCCACCTACATGCTGTAAGATGTATATTATGTTTTGCTGTGGAGTTGAGAGTTTGCTTTCGATGACGCCACAGCCACGCTGAGTTTCCTCTTATTAAAAAGGATTCTGCTTTGAAGACAACCGAAAGATTCTCCCTGGTTTTTTGTGGGCTCTTAGAAGTTTACAACACCCCCAACCTGTTAACCATATATCTTATCCATCTATACACTGTAAACGATTTCTGTTGTTTTCACAGTATTATACTGCATTTCTCAACAGTTTTTTACTGTAAAAGCTGTGCACAGTGTGTTACTGTATATATTGTTGTTTTCACAGTATAATAATGTATTTTCAACTTTTCTATACTGTGAATATGGTTAACAGTATGTTGCTGTAGATTTTACAATGAATTTTGGGGAAAAAATCAGTTACTGTGCATCTAAATACAGTACTGCAAATGACCAAGAACAACTCCACACACACTATATATTATGATTATTATGTTTATTTATTTTTAGACAAATTATTTTGTGAAGTAAATAACCTAACCAGTTTCTTCAGACTGTTCAATGCATTAAACTGTCCCCTGGTTTTCCATTTTTGGGTGCACTGCACCTCATTTTATAAGGTAACATGGAAATATTAAATAATATTTAATAAACATAACTTTGTGCTAAACCAAAATGTAAATTGGAACAAAACTTATTGATTCACGTAACCAAAGACTGTTAAACACAAAATGATTTCAAAGTCAGCTTAAATGTCAGAGTGACCAACCTGGTTTAGACGGATTCAAGAATATTGGGCACCCATATAAGCCACCGTAGAGGTCAACTATCTCCGCATTTTCAAAACAACATTTTAAAATCTTAATAAATAAACCACAGAATTAAGTTTAAAACAACTACATTCTCGCATGAAAACGGTTAAAACTTTATTTCATAACACATTTATTATCTAGTCATCAAAGACAGGGGCATGTCTCAATATTGTCTAGGCCGATTAAAGCATGAGGTTTGTCGGATACATGAGTGATGGAGCGCTGTCAACCCCTGAAGGTCAGAATCTCCCGGCAAAGCACACTTAAAATTAGAAATGATATCTATAAACAAACCACAGATTTGAGTTTGGAAGAACTACATTCTCGCATGAAAAACTTCATTTCGTGACATATTAAACGCAATATTTATGATATGATCTGGCTTTTATCATCCGCCATTATATTTGCTTGTTGGTGTGAAATGAACTCTGGGTGAAAAAAAATATTAATTCTCAAAACACTTTAAGCGAACCTTATTCTTATTGTTAAAGTCAGATATATGTATTATTTTCGCTGGTAAAGTGAAAAAAACAATATTACTATTTTATCAATATCTTGTTTGCACTGGTTCGGTTCAGCACTCAAACGACACCGAATCGGATTGAACTGTTTGCTCGGGAATTATTTTATCACACGTGTTCACAAGCACATTCAGCAATATGTGTATAAATGTGTGTGGCCGAGCAGTATAACGAAATAGTAATGATTCATTGTTGTGTCTTACAATAATATACAAAAAGGAATCGGTTTTAGGCGGATTCGACTCTTTACTGTTCTAAGGAGCCGATTCATAGAACCAAGCCGACTTGATTCGACCTTCACCAGGCAAGCAACAGCTCTTCTAATTTGAAATCCACCTGTCGCCTTTTCTTCCAGTGAATTCATCCTCGTTAAGTGTTTAAAAGTCAAATTCTGTCCGTTAAAGTTTTGTTTTGTGCATATTTCCGTGTAGTGTGTGTGAAATTTAAAATTATTAACCAAGTTACTTTAGTTGTAGGTAACGTTACTCATGTCACGTTATTAGACGCCAGACCGTGTTTGTAGTGTTTGCGAGGTATTAGATAACGTACAGTGAGTTTATCTTGAGTGAGTTTTTGACCATAGTAACGTTACCTGAAAAAAAACGTAACTTTTACTTGGGGTTAACTGCATTAATTAATTCTCTATTTCAGCACAACACTGAGATGAAGGCAAAGTCACCATGAAAAGTTAAACGTTTAACGTTAAGGTAAGCTCTGGTCTTCATGTGGTCATTATGACTTAAGTTATCATTATGGTTAAATTTGGTGACTGTAAGTTAACTTAGTTATTCAAACTAAACTCACAATGAAACAAGTCTAAACTGTTTTATTAAATTGAGCTGATAATAAAATTCAGTCGATGTCTTTTAAGCTAACGTTTATATTAACATAATTCATATTAATTGTCTTTTTCTCACTGGTTAATGAGCTTATTGTATAGTGTGTCATTAATTGTACATTTTCTTTATGGTGTTCAGGTGTAGGGAAAGATTTGTATACAAATTTATTTGAACCCCATACAGATTGGTATGGTTGTACCATAGATTTAGATTATTAAATGTTAAGTCTTATTTTACTCTTATTATATTTATCTTTTTTGCAGCTACAGCAATTGATGTTGAAAAACTGATGCTACCAATCTCTCCTCACTTAATTATTCAAGGTAATGTTGATGTCTTCCTAATTATGATTAGATTTTAAAATGTCAAGTTGTTCACAAATTTGTTGTGAGGAGTTTCATGTACAATCTCTTCTTCTTCCAGTGGCGACGCAGTAGCGACGCAGTGGCACAGTAGGTAGTACTTTCGCCTCACAGCAAGAAGGTTGCTGGTTCGAGCCTCGGCTGGGTCAGTTGGCTGAATACAATGGCATAATGATTCTGCTTGCTCACAGGAGGTACTTGATTTAGTTTTCCTCAAGCGATACAGAGTAATGCGTGACACTTGAATTGAAGGGACAGTTCACCCAAAAATGAAAATAATGGCATCTTTGGCATCCTCCACTTGTTTCAAAATAGTTAGATTTTTTTTTGTTCCATTGAACACAAACTCATATTTTTTTTTTTTTAAGAAATTTGGTTCAAATATGGATGTCAATAGTTGCTGGTTTCTAACATTCTTCAAATAATCTGCTTTAGTGTTCAACAGAAATTTAAATGGATTTAAAACACATAAAGTAATGGTGGCAGAAAAGTAAACTATCCTTTTAAATATTTTATTCTGAGACTTATTTATATGTGTCTTGTCTTTTGCCATATTGTCTTTCTAGCTCAGATTGTGATGGACCTGGAATGTGACACCAGTTACTCTCAAGTCAAGAACCAAATAAAGCACAGATGTGGAGGGATCTGCAACTAAACTAACTGGAGGAAAGGAACCTTTAGGTAAAAACACCTGCTTTATGCCAAATAAAATACTTCAGATCTAAATAGAGTATTATATATTTTTATTCTTATTCTAATTTTATGTTATGTATATACTGAATATAAGTCATTTAAATTTCACAAATGATTGAATATAAAATATCATCTAGATGTCTTATTTTTTATTGTCTTAAACAGGGGTGCTGTTCCTGTTCCTGGAGATCGACCTTTCTGCAGAGTTTAGCTCCAACCCTGATCAAACGCAACTAAACAAACTAAATAGTATCTGAAGGTGCACTTGGTAAATAAATACAGGTGTTCTTGATCAAGGTTGCAGGTGAGGTCTGCGGAAAGGTAAATCTCCAGGAACAGGGTTGAGCACCCCTGATCTAAATGCTCAAAAATGCTGTTTCCCAGGCGAGGTTGGATGTAGTTGTAACATGAAATTAGCTCATTTTATGAATATTAATAATCAACAATAACGGTTTATTCTTAATTATTAATATTCCGGCTTGAGCTTCAGTCAGTTTGGTCAAACAAACATATGATTGTAGCTATATGATCATGCTCGCGCGACCGAGCGGATTCCCAGATTATGAATATTAATTATCAACAATAACGAATTATTATTAACCATTAATATTCCGGATCAATTTATTGTTAATTTGACCAAACGAACACAAGCAGAGC